TTGATTTATCACGAGGCTGGAGAGTTCATTCTGTAATTTTGTTTTACATATCTGCACAATCAAGAAACATCTGTGCACCATGTCGGCTCCAAATGCACGCATTGCGTCAGTGATTGCTGACTGGTGGGTGGCTTAGGTGGGAGCAGTATGAGAGAGAGGGAGAGAATTAGAGAGGGAGAATTAGTGAGAAAGGGAGGGGGAGGTAGGCAGGAAGGAAGTAGTGAGGGGGGGATGGGAGAATTAGGGAGGGAGGGAAAGGCAAGCAAGCAGGCTGGCAGGGATTGGCACAGGCAGGGAGGCATAGAGGCTGGCAGGGATTGGCACAGGCAGGGAGGCAGAGAGGCTGGCAGGCTGGCTGGCAGGTAGGCAGGCTGGCTGGCAGGCAGGTAGGCAGGCAGGCAGGCAGGCAGGCAGGCAGGCAGGCTGGCTGGCTGGCTGGCTGGCTGGCAGGCAGGCTGGCTGGCTGGCTGGCTGGCTGGCTGGCTGGCAGGCTGGCAGGCTGGCAGGGATTGGCACAGGCAGGGAGGCATAGAGGCTGGCAGGCTGGCAGGGAGGCATAGAGGCTGGCAGGCTGGCAGGGATTGGCACAGGCAGGGAGGCAGAGAGGCTGGCTGGCTGTCAGGCAGGCAGGCAGGCAGGCAGGCAGGCAGGCAGGCAGGCAGGCAGGCAGGCTGGCTGGCTGGCAGGTAGGCAGGCTGGCTGGCAGGTAGGCAGGCTGGCTGGCAGGCAGGCAAGCTGGCTGGCAGGCAGGCAGGCTGGCTGGCTGGCAGGCAGGCAGGCTGGCTGGCAGGCAGGCAGGCTGGCTGGCAGGCAGGCATGCTGGCTGGCAGGCAGGCAGGCAGGCAGGCAGGCTGGCTGGCTGGCTGGCTGGCTGGCTGGCAGGCAGGCTGGCTGGCTGGCTGGCTGGCTGGCTGGCTGGCTGGCTGGCAGGCTGGCTGGCTGGCTGGCTGGCTGGCTGGCTGGCTGGCTGGCTGGCTGCCTGGCTGCCTGGCTGCCTGGCTGCCTGGCTGGCTGCCTGGCTGCCTGCCTGTCTGCCTGGCTGCCTGCCTGCCTGCCTGCCTGGCTGCCTGCCTGCCTGGCTGCCTGCCTGGCTGCCTGCCTGGCTGCCTACCTGGCTGCCTACCTGGCTGCCTGCCTGGCTGGCTCCCTCCCTCCCTCCCTCCCTCCCTCCCTCCCTGCATCCGGATCCTTACCTTTTGTGGGGTCGGGGTCGGGCTTCGCTGGTCTTGAGACTCTGGGATTTTCCCCTTCCAGGGTAGCGATGGGGGCATTCGAGCTTGTTCCTTCAGCCATATTGTATGAGTCTGCCAGTGGGCTCCCTTCCTTAGTATTTTTCCGGTTGCCTTTGCTTTTTCTTGTGAGGCTGGGGCTTTGGGGGAAACGGCTCGGCCCCGGGATCTGCCTTGTGGGTTCCCGGGGCTGGTGAGGGGCTGATGTTTGGACCCCTCCTGGGTTTTTCTGCCCTTTAAGCAGTGCTTGCAGTTACAGGGAACAGGGTTTTTTCTTCCACCCCCCCCCCTCTCTGTACATGTTTTTGGGAGTCGGCCCCTCCCCAGGATCGGTTCTTCGTCCCTTGGTTCCGTCTTGTTTGTGGGTCTGTTTCTCCACCCTTCATCTTGGGACGGGCCTTCACAGTCATGTTTCCCCTCTTCTTGGGGTTCAGCATGACTTTTGGTCTCGGGTGCGACTTTGCCTTCCGTGCCTTCGTGCTTCACGTTTGCTTCTTTGTTCTGGAAGGATTGGGAAGGTTTTATTTCTTCTGTATTCTTGGAACATCTGTCATCTTCTGGTACTTTCTGGGGCTTGCTGGTCCTTCTCCAAGCTTTTAGTTTTTCAGTCCTGTTTCGTTCTTTCGTGTTTGTCTCGTTCTCTCCGTGCAGTGCGTGCACTGTCCTGCGCTGCACAGGGTTGCCAGATTGGGCTCCTTGTAGCCCGGTTGGACTACAAGGAGGGGCACCTTTGTACCCCAAACTGGGAGGCTATGCTATGTTTCTTTTCGCTCCTTCCTGCTCTTTTCGACTATGGATGGCGGCTGCCCTGTGTACTCTCATACGGGATTCGGTCGTTAACAACGCTGTTTTGTCTCTTTTCTAGTCACATTCGTGGTTTCTTTCTTCAGCTCGCGACTTCTGGCGACCCACGTCTGGCATCCCTGCTCCGCATGCGCCGGGGTTGTATGTTTTGATACGGGCGGTGTGCATGTATGCTGGTGTTTTGCGTCCCTTTTCTCTCGGGTGCTTCACCTCTTGCTCTTCTCCATTCCATGCCCGGTAGCTCCTGGAAGTGTTCTGGTTTGCTGCTATGGGGCGAATGCGGGGTTTTCCCTGCGTATGGGTGTGGGGCTCCTCCGTTGCTTCTACCCTCTTCTCCTGCATGTACGGTTCTGCCTTCTTCCATTAGCAGTGCTCCCGGAATCTTCTCAGCTATGTTGTGTCATGACACGTTCGTGCCTACGTTTTGCAGGTGAGTTTATGCGGTCTGGCTTCTCTTCGGCCAGGTGCTGGTTAGTGGTTTTTGGATACGCATATACGAACATCGGAACATAGGTGACTGCAGCAGGCCTAATGGGCCATACGAGGCAGCTCATATTTGTACCCATCCTGTCCCACTCTTGTGCATGTCTAGCCCTTGCTTGAGTCCAGATAGAAGCCCTACCTCCACCAGGTTACGAGGTACGATGGTGGGGGTATATGTTCTGGGATAAGTGTTCCTGTCTGGTTGTTCTTGGGTGACATTTTGCAGCAGTTTTCATGCTATGGATGTGTGTTGGGGATTGGTTGTGGATTTTTGTTTGGCCCTTCCGTGCTTCTTCCTGAGGCCTTCCTTGTTCCGCTGGGTTCCAACCACACTGGGTTTTCTATAGGCCAATGCTCCCCGTGCCTCTCTGAGGGGACCAGGTTCTGGCTCGTGGTCCCCGGTAGGCCCACAGAACTCCATACACATGACTGATGCCAAAGTCTGACATTAGCATATTAGCCTAGTAAGCTCCGGGGAGCCTCCGAGTCTCACCCAGAAAATGGCGTTTCATTACATCTAACGCTGGTTTTATAATTTTTTATTATCCTAATAATATTACTGAACAAAATCTGTAACCAAAAATAAATATGATGATGTACATCCAAAATTTAAGAAACAAATCTGGTTAAGTGGGTCAAGTGTGTTAGGCTTATCAGAGTGAGCCGGTCCTTCCCACCACCGACACACCTTCCCCCCCATACATTCCATACACATACACTCTGCTTCACCTCAACTCAACACCCATCCCTCCATCCATCCTTCTGTCCTTCCCTCCCCCCCCTCCCTCCCCTCCCTCCCCTCCATCCATCCCTCCCTCCCTCCCCTCCCTCCCTCCCTCCCCTCCCTCCCTCCCTCCCTCCCTCCCTCCCTCCCTCCATCCATCCTCCTGTCCTTCCCTCCCCCCTTCCCCTCCCTCCCTCCCCTCCCTCCCTCCCTCCCTCCCTCCCTCCCTCCCTCCCTCCCTCCCTCCCTCCATCCTTCTGTCCTCCCTCCCCCCTTCCCCTCCCTCCCTCCCTCCCTCCCTCCCTCCCTCCCTCCCTCCCTCCCTCCATCCATCCTTCTGTCCTTCCCTCCCCCCTTCCCCTCCCTCCCTCCCTCCCTCCCTCCCTCCCTCCCTCCCTCCCTCCCTCCCCTCCCTCCCTCCCTCCCTCCCTCCCCTCCCTCCCTCCCTCCCTCCCTCCCTCCCTCCCTCCCTCCATCCCTGTCCTCCCTCCCCCCTTCCTCCCTCCCTCCCTCCCCTCCCTCCCTCCCTCCCTCCCTCCCTCCATCCATCCTCCCTTCCCTCCCCCTCCCTCCCTCCCTCCCTCCCTCTCCCTCCCCCCCATCCTCCCTCCCTCCCTCCCTCCCTCCCTCCCTCCCTCCCCCTCCCTCCATCCCTCCTTCTGTCCTCCCTCCCTCCCTCCATCCATCCCCTCCATCCATCCCTCCCTCCCTCCCTCCATCCATCCATCCATCCCTCCCTCCCTCCCTCCCTCCCTCCATCCCTCCATCCATCCCTCCATCCCTCCCTCCCTCCCTCCCTCCCTCCCTCCCTCCCTCCCTCCCTCCCTCCCTCCCTCCCTCCCTCCCTCCCTCCCTCCCTCCATCCCTCCATCCATCCATCCATCCATCCATCCATCCATCCATCCATCCATCCATCCATCCATCCCTCCCTCCCTCCCTCCCTCCCTCCCTCCATCCATCCATCCATCCATCCATCCCTCCACTCCATCCATCCATCCATCCCTCCATTCTTCCATCCATCTCCATCCTCTCCCTGGATGGGGCGCCTGACAGCTGAGTGGACAGCGCTTTGGATTCGTAGTCCTGAAGTTCCGGGTTCGATTCCAGGTGGTGGCGGAGAAAAATGGGCAAAAAGTTTCTTTCACCCTAATGCTTGTTACCTAGCAGGAAATAGGTACTTGGGAGTTAGACAACTGCTTCCTGGGAGTGTGTAACAAAAAGGAGGCCTGGTCGACGACCGAGCCGCGGGGACGGTAAGTCCCGAAATCGTCTCAAGATAACCAAGATAACCCTCCCTACCTACCTCGCAGCCTCTGCCTGCCTCGCTCCCTCCCTGCCGCTCCCTCCCTGCCTCTCCCTTCCAGGCAGGCAGGCAGGCCTCTGCCTGCCTGCCTGCCTGCCTACATTTCAGCCTCTCCATCCCTGCCTGGCTGCCCATCCACCCACCAGCCAGCCATCACTGACACAATGAGTACATTTGGAGCTGACATGGTGCACGGATGTTCCTTGATTGCAAATTACCGACACTTAACTTCGGAAATACCGGTGCTCCGGAAATAATGACCAGGGTACAGCCCATATAGGCCATTAAATCGTTAAATCTTTATTTCATACAAATTAAATTTGCATGAGATTTTCCAGAAATTCAACAAATGGAGGACTAATTACTTATGTGTGTACTGTGGCTACAGATGATTCAAAGAATAGTTAATTTTTGTGCAATTATGTGATTCATGTTTTATAATCTTTATTTTTTTCAGATAATGATTGTGCTACTGATGAGAGAACAGTCCGTGCTCGGCAAGTTAGTGAAGTGATCTCTGGAACATTAGCTTCTGTGGCAAAGTATCCAATAGGTAAGGAATATATTTAAATAAAAACACTGAATATTGTATTTTGTTTATTAACAAATTCAACACTGTCTGATAGTTAAATTCTAACTGTAGTGTTGTATCTTTCATACGACCATTTGTTATCAATACATTGCTAGAATGTACGAGTAATCCTTGTACTACTCTTGGTACCCATACATAAAAAGAATACAGAAGCTACTCTTGTACTACATTTGGTACCAGTATACTATCAGAATGCATGAACTCTACCCTTCCTAATCTTATTAGTACTGATACTTGGCTAGAACACACAAGCAGCCACCTTCCCTATCTTGTGCATCGGTACTCTACCAAAACGCTCGAGCTCTCTCCTTCCCTTCCTGCTCCTGGTATTGGTACTCTGCAAAAAGGCATGTGCTCCCATCTTCCTGCTCTTTGTACTAGTACATTGACATTACACACAAGTATACTCTGTTTCCCCTCTTGGGAAGATAAAGTTGTTCAAAATTTAAGAACTGGAGTTATCTTTGCGTGAGTGAAAGGAAGACTGGTGTTAAAGTGAATGGTGTATTAGAGCTAACAATAGTAGACTGTTAACTGGTCAAGTAGAAAGTTAAAATAACCAGATAAAGCATTTTAAACATCATGGGTGGAATTCATGAAAGAATGTTGGAACTACATTTATTATTTTCCAGATTTTCAGTAGCTTTTCTGCCTTAATTGTAATATTGAACATTATAGTAAATGAGTAACATGATCCCTGCACTTCCTTTAGTAACCATAGTGATGTGCATTTGTATTAATCACTTGCTTGTTTTCTACAGAATTTCTAAAGGACAGTGCACGACCTTCGTATTGGATTCCAGATGAAGTTATAACAAAGTGTATAGTGTGTGAGAAGGAATTTGGACCAAGATTAACCTTACATCATTGTCGGGCTTGTGGTCAAGGTGTGTGCAACAAATGCTCTCCAAATCTTAGGCCAGTTAAAGAACGTGGTTGGGACCATCCAGTGCGGGTGTGTAATAACTGCCTTAAGTAGTCAAAGGTTCGACGCTCTTAACCATATGTAAGTAAAAACTTCCTCTCCAAATATTGTAGGAATACTGCTGCTACAGAAAACTGCCCTCAGGAATGTACATCAACTTTTTGAAACCTTGTTAACTTTTGGCCATGTAAATGTTAATAGCTTATGGGGACAGGAAGATGCCTGTGAACATAATTTTGAATTTAAATTTTGATAACTTTTTATAAAATAGTGTAATACAAGGGTTTAATTAAATTTAGTCAAAGAAAATTGTCAGATTACATTGCATGGGTCTAGCGGTAATGGACGTTAGTTTGGTAGGTGACAGTATCATTGTTCACACTTACAGGAAATAGAATGTTGAGCTGGTTTATTATACAGCCTCACTCTTCAGTCATTGTACTGCTACTGTATTTACAAACATAACTTCTGTGAGAGCAATAGTGTGAGTGTATTTTTGATCAATAATAAACTGTGATGTAATTAAGGCCTAGTGTACCAAGTAACACATGCCTGCCATATTGGGCAAGTCTAAGGCAGCACTTGAGTTGAGGCTCTTTAAAAACTTTTCAACAATGTGTAGTGATCAAGTTTCTTTCTGTGCTGAGGTGTCAACTTCACATGTTAATTTAGTGGCATTGTTCCGAGTGAAAACAAGAGCACAACAGGATAAAGCTAGGGGTGTAGGGGATATTTGTGGAATATTAGCTTAAAAATCCAGCATTAAGTGTCATTTTTTTTTTCTGATCCATTACCTCTATTGCTACCTTAACCATAGCCCATATGGTCCACTTAGAACACCACTCATCGCTAGGATCTCTGTGGCAATACACCCCACCATGGCAAGTGACTTCAAATGGCGTGCCACGTAATTTGTACAGGGAAATAATGAAGCACCCTTGATCCCCTGCTGATCAACTGATCCACTATCAAATGGGGGAACTTAACCACAACACAGCAGTGACAAAGAGAATAACCACAGGAAGGAAATGAACCAGCACTGACAAACACAGGAACCAGCTGTCACACAGAAACCAGAGGAATGTTAGCCTAGGGTGAGAGGGGAAAGGAAATTATTGGATGAAAGTTCCAAGTCATTACGACTTAAAAGGGATAAGGATTTGGGATGGGATGGGGAGAGGAATGGTACCCATCCACTTGGATGATTGGGGGTTGAATGCTGACCTGCATGAAGCGAGACTGTATTTCTACTGTCCAGCCCAAGTGATTAGAGGCACTGCCAATAGATAAGGCATTGAAAGTGTGATTTAGCATCCTTAGGCCTGAATATCAGAAAAGGACATGGCTGAAAAGAGGGCATTGAGAATGGGAAATTTATCAAGGTCATTAGTATGGAAACTGCCATGCAGCTCTGTGCATGGCAGTGCCACCTGGAAAGTCTTGAACAATGGGGGTTTAAAAATGCATATAAATGCATATAAAAATGCAGGGTTAAGTCTGGTGGTGAATGGTGTTGGGTGAAACATGCAGGATACGGTTAAGAGAGCAACCAAAGTGCTAGAGCTTAGAAAATAGCGGCATCTCAACTCAGATGGTAGAGAAATATACAACTTTTTATTAAGAAAAATTTCTGGAGAAACAGAAAAATGGTGGACTATACATACAGAAATAATATAAATAAAATTCCCCCCACCCCCCAAAAAAATAAAGTATCTTTCCTACTGAAATTTTACAAAAGCACTGTGTACCTTTTTCTTACTTATTGCTATACTGTATCTATTTTGGGTTTTGTCTTTTATCTGATTAAAACAATTGGGAAGGTGGTGATTTTTATAATTTTTCATAAATGTATGTAATGTAGAATTCCTGTATATTTTGTGATTTATTCCATTAAGTTTTTATGTATTACTATGCCTTTTAGGAATTGCATTAGGGGACATTAGCTAAATTCCCCAAATTCTTGTACTTTGTTGTGATGTTTCATATCCATTGTTTTGGTAAAAAAAAAAAATGCCTGTTGATTACTGAATATGCATATATTATATATTTTATTCACTTTTATAATTTTACTAAATGCAGTATTATGATTGTCGTGGCTTCTTATTTACATAAATACAATTACTATACAGTATTTTATTATTAATCTTGTTTAATGACACAACATAATGATAGTTCAAAGAATTTGCTTGAAAAAATAAAACACAATCATCTACTGTTAAAACAAACCTTGAGCTGTGGTTTTAATCAAAGTCATAAATCTTTATTGGCATGTTTGGGGAAAATTATGTAAAGTGGTCCTTATAAAGGAATGACTATATCTAAAAGAATATTGGATGTTTTATCTGTGTGTAACATTGCCATTAGAGCACCATGTAACAAGTTACTATTTAAGTGTAGTGATATTATATTATTTTGAAGTAGTACAACCTTTTCACAGCCAAATGGTCCCGGGTTAAATTTCTGCACAGGATGAAATGTTTGGGTATGTTCCCTTAAACTTAATGCTTCTGTCCACCTTGCACCAAATAGGTACACAGGAATTAGGCCACTGATGTAGATTATATTTTGGGGGAAAGGAGAGTTGTTGGTTTAGGGAAAACCTCAATAAACTTAACAGTCTTCCTGTTCCCAATAAGGGAAAACCATTTAGGCATTACATATAAACATGTAAGCCAATTGAATTCTGTGATTGTGAAGGAGGTATACCATTGGCTATGCCAGAATGTTTCCTTAGAAACAAGGTAAGAATATGAGAAGTTGATGGTCTTGCTGCACTGTTTACAAAAGTGTGCATCACTGCCATTCTTGGTACAGTGTGTGTGTGTAATATGAAGGCTGTAGACTCGTTGTAACAATCTGGCATAGGTTAGTCATGAATCATTTAACTGAATATGCTCAAATGTATTGGTCTCTTTACAAATTCCATCATCATCATTGATTCATTTTTCTTTGCAATTTTAAGTATTCTATTACATCTACTTTTATATGTTTTAACAGACTTTTATTTACCTCAATAATTTTGTAATGTTTGTTTTTATACCATTCACTTGTCTCTTACAATAAATGTCCTCAGTCATAATTGTTTGCTTTGTAAGTAATGTTTCAGTTTCTCATTAATAATTGTATAAATCACAATATTGACATGCGATGACCTGCAGTCAATACATTTTCTTGTTGCTATAAGGCATTTCCAAAAGATGGGGCAGGGTTTAGTTGATGAGAGAAAGGTTGACATGGAGGAATGTGATGTGATCTTAAGATAGAATGAAAGAAACCTCACACAGCTCTTTCCTGGAGAATTGGATGAAGTACAAGTATGACATTTATGTGTAAATTCAATACATTATGTGGAGCTTCAGCTTGCAGAGAGTTTTAAAAGTTAATATGAGTTTGAACTACAGTATAGTGAAATTCACAGTTGTCTTTATTTTAATGTAATCTACATTCTCTTAAATTTGAGTAAGGTTCTGCATACACTCTTCAATAAATATTTTAGCAATTAATCAACATCAAATCTAATATAGCAAAACCAAACTGAAAGAATTATAAATACCTGTACCGTACATGTATATGGTAGTGACACATTTGCTGAAGAATTATAATGCTTGAAGATGAGCCCATTGTAATTTTGCCCCAATTTTTGCCTTTCGTTTCTTTTTTTTTTTTTATGTAAGAACACTTATGATGAAACATTGGCATAATTCCAATTTTTGTCCTTTCATTCTCTTCCATTGTCAATACAGAATATGTTCAGCACATTTGGTGGTCTAGAAGTGTGCCGTAATTATTGATGTTATCTGTGCCCGAGGAGATGAATATACGTGCAGATTCCTGTAACTTTCACCGTGTGTGACTTACCTGAAGGGACATGCAACAAAATTGACAGTGCAACAGGCAGGTTTTTTGGGACAACAATTACCTACTTTGGTTTGGATTACTAATTAAACCATATCTAGCCCAAAACATCACATGGGTTTAAATCATGCCATAATATTGAAGAAAAATCCTTGATATCTTTTCACATGGAAAATATATATATATACACAAGTGTCTAATATTTTCTTAAATTCTTTTAAAGTTTGTAGTAGTTCTGGCATATGCTATCTACTATTTTGCAATTTATTCTTCCTCCATCATTTTTTCTGCAGTTTATAATGGTGGCTTCTTGCTCTTTCAGGTTTCAAGAACTCTTCACAGTTACCCTTTGCCTATCTCTTCATTAATAAGGGACCATCATATTTCCCACCCTGTTTTGTTTAACTTTGGACCACATGTTGGCAGTGTTTTTGTAGCTGTGCCTCGTTCTTTCAGTCGCAGGCTGAAAGAACAAGTCCCTGTGCAGAAGATGAGCCACAATAATGTGACTGAAGACATGATGACCAAACCACACAGCAGATGGAGAAGCGACGATGTTTCTGTCCGTCCTGTACCATTATCAAGTCATGTGATGACTTGATGATGGTCCAGGACGGACCGAAATGTCGTTGCTTCTTTATCTTCTAATGTGTGGTTTGGTCATCACTAGAACTCCCTGTGATCATGATACAAGTTAAAGTAAATGAATTAGTTTTGTAAGTTAATTGTATGTACATTTTTTTGTTGAGTATGTCACCATCTTTAATTATTGATGTGTCTAGGAAAAGAAGGGAGTTCTCTCTTTTTGTTCAATATAAATTATATTGCAGATTCTTCTTTAAAGTCTTTCGGGCTTGGTGCATTATTTTGAAGATTTCTTCATCGAACCTGTTCCTTAATTTACTTGGGTTGAAATGGTATGGTGTGTTCAAAACACTCGGGATAGAAAAGCATTTTTCTGCACTGGGATTGATAACTTTTACAGTATATAGCGAGCGAAACCTGTATGTGTTCTGTCAATGACACTTGTATCACACAGGCACACACAGATTAAGAACTCGTACATTTAGGGAATGCTAAACTCATGATCATGGAAGAAAATGACAGAAGAAAGTGCGAAGAATCTGCAGTTATCAAATGCTACAATAACCATTGAACAGAATCAAAGAAATTTCAGCATTTCATTGCCACTTAATAAATTACTACTCGAAAAATATGTTTTCTAAAATACTTAATTCATCACACATGGCCTCACCCCCACCTTCACTTCGCTTTGTCCTTTTCCCTTTATAAGCAGCTAACTCTGTCTCTCTCTCTCTCTCTCTCTTATATGAACATAATAAGGTCCTTGTATGTGAAGCATTTTACACTACTGTTCTTAATTATATGCACTTACCTGTCGGTGATTATGGAGAATTGAGGTCTAACCTTGTTGTACCTGTTGCATTATAATTTAATTATTCTGATATTCAAATTCTTTGTCGAATCTGGCCTTAAAGTTGTGGATGGAGATGGCTTACTCAAATTCTTCTTTCAATGTATTGCATTTGTTTCCCATTTACAGGGTTTGAGAACTTCCTTATTTTCTTTAAGCTGATTTCTTCATCTCATTTGTGTTTCCAGCTTCCACTTATGTCCTGTCATCCTTCTTTCTCTCAATTTAAAAGAGGCTGTCATTGTCTAATTTGTTAATTCCCCTCAGTATCTTTATGTTGCAATCATGCTCACCCCCCTGCCTTCCTCTGTTTTTTTTTCTCCTCCAGCATTGCAAGGTCTAGTTCCTTTAACCTACTGATTCGTCAGAACTGATTCATCAGTTCTCTTAGTTCTGGCACTAAGCTTGTTGCAAATTTTTGTACTTTTTCAGTTTGTTTTATGCTTCACAAGGTGCAGATTGCAGGATGGTGCTGCATATTTCAATATTGGTCTAACAAAAGCTATGTAGATTGCACTGAAAGAGCCTTGGTTTAGGTTTCTAATCAACATTCTAATCTTTGTCAGCATACTATATGCTGCTGATGTTATGCTGTTTGTGTCTGGAGAGTACTACTGTATATCCACTCCCAAATCCTTTTCTCTCTCTCTCCAACTCCTGTAGTTGCCTGCGCCTTATGGTGCAGATACCTTTCCCATCTTTGTTATCTTACGCTTTTTGGGATTCAATTCTAACAACCATTTGTTTGCCCACTCCTGTAGTTTGTCAAGGTCATCCTGTAACCTTCTGCTGTTTTTTGTTTTTACATTCCTTATTAGCTTTGCATCGTCTGTAAACACTGACGTGTACAAGCTCGCTTATTTTGGTAGGTCATTCACATAAATTAAGAACAGCAGGGGTCCCAGGACCGATCCTTATGAAACTCTACATGTTACGTTCCTCCAACTAGAAGCCTCATTTGGGTAAGGTAGTCACCTACTCAGTTCAGTGTCTCCCTAGTTATCCCTGTTTGCTTCTCCATTTTGAACTCGTCTTTCATAACACACATCGTATACTTTTTGACAATCTAGTAAAATACAATTTACCTAGCCTTCTTTTTCCTGTCATATTTTAGCAATCTTGTCATAGAACTTGATCAAGTTTGTCAGGCATGACTTTTCCCTTCTAAATCCATGCTGCCTGTTTGTTTCAAACGTTTATTTTCAATTGCTCAACCTGATTCATTTTTCCAACATTTTACAATGAATACTTGTCAGTGACACTGGCCTTTATTTAGTGCGTCTGTCTTTTTTTTTTTTTTTATATACATATTTTTTTTTTGCCTTTTCCCCAAATACCAGGAGGTTTCCAGTCAAATGTTTTAATGAAGACTTTGGTTAGCAGGAGACGAAGTGCCTCTGCAGTCTCCTGTAATAATCGTGATATTAATGTTGACCAAACCACAACTCAGATGATGGAGAAGCGACGATGTTTAGGTTTGTCCTGGACCATTAAGAAGTCTGATGCTATTGATTTTGTTGCATATTATTCCTCCAGGTGTGTTTTACCCTCTTTCACTGTGACTATTATGTCATCCCCAGTGTTACCTGTGGCCTGCCATCTCTTAACTCTGGTCTCCACGCTGGTTCTTTTGTTAAGACCTGAAATCTTTTTCTCCAATTCTTCACATCCCTTATTGTTGTTTTCTGTGAAAATTCCAGCTTGTGCTGTAGACTGTTGCTTTTCATGATTATGCTCTCATGGTCAAGGAAATTTGCCTTATGTGATGAAGATATTGTCATTTGGAGGAAAAATTCCCATCCAGATTTTATAAAGTATTTGTTCTTTGGTGAATTATTAGATATGTACTCTTATAGTTTAAATTGTGTAAATTATATTTTCAGATGATGGCATTTCAGCATATTAATAATAATAATAATAATAATAATAATAATAATAATAATAATAATGATTATTTACAAGAAGGTACAATGGGTTGGTGAGATTACGTAAGATTGGTATTTGTACATTCTTGCAAAGCTACTAACTCGTATAGCATTTCGGGCAGAGTTAATGGTGTGTGTTATTAGGGCACAATGTTTATTATCTCATAAATATACTTGGGGCCAATTTTCAGATAGTAGAATGAAATGGACTGCAAAACATTAAGTATGAATATATGTACACCTTTTTGGATAGTGGACCTAGATTATATAGTACAAATATTAATTTATTTTGCCCTTCATACACTGTCATTTAAGAACCATTTTTCACGAAACAAAGATTTGTAAAGTGAATGTAATTTTGCAATTGGAATTTCACTGGTGTTTTATTGTAGAACTTCAGTGTGGAACTATTTAATAAAGTACACAAAACTTTTCATGCACATAATTTATGAAAAGGCAAAACTGCAGTTTTACATGTTATTCTCAGATGAATTTTGTGATAACTTTAAGCTTCACTTGGCATTGTTTAATGACAACCTTGAATTATCTTTTACTTATTATTGTTGTAAACTCGGTTATCTGTATACAGTACAGTATTTCGATGTTTAATAGTTGAAACATTTATGCAATTTGCAGTAAATCTAAGTTTGTTTAATTTCACTTTTGTGTTGGAAAGACATTAGTAGTGTATTAAGATGTTCAGTGTTTGATTGATATTTCATTTGGAATTACATTTTCATGTACATACTGGAAAACATACCTTGGTGATTTCTTTATTTTCAAATTGTATACATTGTCATCATTGTACAGCGGTACAAAACCACGACTCGTGTTTCCTTGGCTTTTTAATTAAAAATAAAGACAAATAATATTAATGCAATAAATGCTATAAATATTTATGCACTGTGGAAGCAGTAACATACATGTACAAGTATATACACTAATAAAGCTATAATGGAACTGTAGTGTGTAGCTGATTATTCATGTCACTTGTATTCCTATTAAGATTGTAGTAAGAAGTAAGGAAGCAAATTTATAAATATCTTGGGATCACAGTGAAACGGTTTTAAAACAAATTTTTAATTATAGTTGTTTAGTTTTAAAGATGCTGGTGTATACTTAACTGTAGTGTTAACAATAAGGGAAAACTTTGACAATCAAATCCAACACAAATATATGGCATTGAATTAAATCAAATGGTCATGCATTTCAGAGACGGTACCTGGGCTGCTTCCTTGAACTGGCAGTCAGTATACTGTAGTTCCACAGACATACTATATGCCTGCCCAATTCTAATAACTTGTTTACTCACCATGACCAGTAACTGCAAGTACAGGTCTGGGGAAGAGAGAGGATCAGATCTTAAATTCAACCAACCATTTAGATACCAACTTGCTATAATACAATTAGGTAATCCTCCAAGCAAAATTTAAATTATATGGTGTCCATTCTTGCTGTGAAGTACCAGCTGGGCACTATTCCAATTGCCAGATTGCAGTACCATCGCTATGACGAAGCCTTTGAAGTCAGCAGCTTCACTTGTTGCCAAGACACCCAAGAATGCATCAAAAAGACTGCACAAAAAGGAAAGAAATTGGAGCAACCGAGGGACAGATTCAGAATGATGTACTGTACAGTATTTAATTTTTCTTGACCTAAAGTCACTTGGGTGCTCCCTGGAGCTAATTCCAACAAGGGTAAACTTTTACCACATAAAAAAGCTAGAAAGACAAGAAACCAACATTGGCAGAAAGAAGAAAAGAATGTTCAAAGGGCAAACAAACAAACTGCTACTAAAGCTGCAGATTGAAAATAGGAATTGGGTGGATAGGCAGCCCGACAATCTTTCTGTTTGGGATATGGCAGATTCGGCAGGTACCTGTCAACAAAAGTACAGCTGTAAAATCTCTGGGTAAATTGCCAAGCAGAAGTAAACAAAGGAAGGTAGTATATATGGTGTTGCATAGAGCACAGTTGCTTTGGTTAGTTTATTTTTCCTGTCAGTTGGGTCCCTCACCTCAGCTAGATTTGGCTTCACATTTCACATTTCCTATATCTTGCTTTGCCTTCCCCAGCCTTTTTCGACAGTCCTACCGGTTAGGGCTCTCTTCTTAACCAGGTTTATCCGGCCATGTCTGCTCCCAATGCTCTACCTTGTTTGGTCTTTGTGCCAGCTTAGTCCAATTTTTCAGCGAGACTTACTCTTGCTTTAGCCCCTTCCTGCCAGTTTCATGGAATGGTTCCAGGGTCTATTTAGCCCATTCATTGACCAGGTTTAGCTTGTGTCTTTGCCTCCCTGCTGGCCCATTTGACAATTTCCAGCCAGGCTAGAGTCTTCTTAGTTATGCTTTGCCCTTTTGCCAGCCAGGCTCTCTTCTAGACTGGACCATATTTTACTGTTATTCTTCAGTCAATCAATAACTTTATATATGTTGGAAAAGTGTAAATAAACAGTGTACATTATGTACAGTATACATTATGTACAGTATACTATGTACAGTGTACATTGTGTAATACATTAATTACAATGAATTTACTTGAGGGCCACTAACACACCAGTGGCCTTGATGAGGACACCGGCTTGTCAAAGGTCCATACTTGTCCTGACGATTTTTTCTAACTGAATTTTTTAAATTCTACAATTTTGCATTTATGGCTTCAGCAGGTAGGTGATTCTGAGGGTTTATAACCGTATGGGTGAAAAAGCATCTCCTGTTTTCAGTTCCACATTGTGGTTTGTTGAAACCGTTGCTCCTTGTTTGTGTTACATCTGGACTTTAAACAAATTGTCTGGATCAACAGCCTCCAAATTCTTCAGTATTTTAAGTTTAGATGAGATCTGCTTGTCATGCCTGGTTTGCAGCATTGTTAGCCCTGTGGCTCTCAACTGTTTCTAGTATGAGACTTGACTTAGTTCTGGAATAATTTTTATTGCCCATTGTTGAACTTTCTCCAATGCAGCTATATCTTACTGAAGATAAATTCTCCATACTTAGATACAATAATACAAGAAGGGGGCACACCAGAGATTTATACAAGTGAATAACTACCTATATTTCCTAAAGTCAAAGGTATCTTGAGGTTATCTTGAGATGATTTCGGGGCTTTAGTGTCCCCGCGGCCCGGTCCTCGACCAGGCCTCCACCCCCAGGAAGCAGCCCGTGACAGCTGACTAACACCCAGGTACTTATTTTACTGCTAGGTAACAGGGGCATTAGGGTGAAAGAAACTCTGCCCATTGTTTCTCGCCGGCGCCCGGGATCAAACCCAGGACCACAGGATCACAAATCCAGTGTGCTGTCCGCTCGGCCGACCGGCTCCCGGTACGCTTGATTATTTCTATGGTTTGGTTAGTTTTTTTTGTTTACTGCCACTGCAACTTGTGCAACTTTCAGTGAATGATGGATTTTGACTCCAAGGTTCTTTCCATCATCAATTTCCTGGAAGGTAATGTTGTTAATTTGGTAGTTGCGATGTGGGTTGTTATGCCCCACATGCAAGGTCTTTTTTTTTATATTAAAATGCATTTGCCAGGCTTCTAACCATTTGTGGAGTTCATGTAAACTTCTTTGTAAAGTCTGTCTTTGTAAGAAATGACTGGAACATTCCCTCCATTTACAATTAAGCTTACTAAGGTCATAATAATAATATACTAATGTTTTATTTATGCAAGAAATCTACAAATGATATTAGAACATTAGAGAATTTGAAGGTAATGGAAGTACAATGTTAAGTCACTAATACACGGTGTACTCTCCTAGTTGTGCTTGTGGGGGTTGAGCTTCGGCTCTTTGGTGTGTGTGTGTGTGTGTGTTTTGAGCATAAAGAAAAAATAATTAGGGAAAAATGTACATGTAAAGGGGTTATTCTTGTAACTATATCAGATAGTGAATTTATTTTTTATTTATTGAAATTGATAATTATACAAGAGATATTTAGAATCAATTTTTTTGTCAACATTACACTGTGATTAATTATATAATTATAGATAAGATTTTAGAAAAATCTTAAATATTTTATGATACAGGTACAGTATTTAGAAATAGCAGTATTTAGTAACAATATATATATAGTAGTTACTGATGTTCACAATAACAGCAAAATACATGTTGACATGTAGGATAAGAAAGGATGAGGACAATTTGTTACCCAAAGTTAATTGGGTAGTTCTTAGTTACTCTTAAACTGCACTTCTCTGTCAATTTTTAATCTCATTAAGGAGATTGTTCTGCAGTTTAGGACCTTTGATTTGCAGAACATTTTTGCTTTGGTTAAGTCGCACTCTTGGAATATCAAAAAGACATTTGTTTGTGTGATATCCATGAATTCATTTGCAGGCCTCCAGGAATGTTTTAGGTGTGGTCTACATGTATAAAACTGCAGTGCAGTGCTAATCCAGACCGGAGTTTTCATGAGAGGCACTAACACTAGCAGCTTTCTGTCCTCATCGAGGCCACTAGTGTTAGTGGTTCTCAGGTAAACTTGAGTAAACTCTGGTCTTTGATTAGCACTGCAGTGCAAAGTTTTATACATGTAGAGCACATTTGAGAGTATGTGCAACAATAATATTTAACATACTCAAGGATTTCAATAAAGGACTCGAGTACTTCTAGGGATGGAGTTTGCTATTACTGTATTCAAATTATTGATTTATGTTGAGTAATTAGAGATCATTTGAGCCTGACAGGTACCCCTTGACCTATTCAGCACCTTTACTCATGGCCCTCCCTCCTGAGCATAGATCAGTTAATTTAATATTCCTTTCCATCCAGGTTCCAGCTAGTGGCGGCTCTTTATTTTATTTGAAGCTCCTCTCCCCTTAAATTACTGTCACATCATGCCTCATTATTGCTTACTGACACCCTTTCTCCTTTGGACAAACATAACCTCTGAGAAGTCATTTTATTACTTTGTTGCTTGCAAAACGTCCATGAGTTTTGTAATATGACATATTCCTTACACCCTATTTCCCATCCAGTGGTCGTCGAGGTTCAGCATTGGCTGTTTCTTATTTCCAGTAAATTTAAATTGGTAGAGTTTTGCTGGGTTCCCAGCCATATTGGTGTCTCTTTACATGAGTGTGCAGATATTCGAACCCCAGTTGGAAATAGACCCAACTATAGGATGGGTTAACCCAAGTATCGCGTTTCCAAAAGGGTCGCCCAAGTTGGAAAAGACGAACACTGAAAGAATATTGTTGAAAACATCTTGATAACTGATTAAACCAAAATTATTTATTAGTCAGAAGAAAGACAGAAACGCGATCAATATGTAAAACCTCTACCAGACAAATATTTTAAGTAAAACCGAAGATATTTGTAATTGTATAAAAGTGGCAGTTTTCATCGCTCGTCAAACTCGAAAACCGCAGCATTCATCTCAGAACCATGCCTATTTCACGCAGATTCCTTAATAAACGTAAGAGTTTTATATGTCACAAGAAAGACAGATATATAAGCTTCGTTCTAAATACCTTACCATGGGCATATTTAAATTTAAAGCGAAGATACGTGTACTTTTATAATAGCCGAGCTCCGACTCCGGACAGATCGATCGACGGAGCAACTCTCTCAGAACAATGCTTATTTCACGTAAATTTGTAAATAATCGTAAATTTTTTATATGCCTCAAGAAAGATAGGAATATAAGGCTCATTTTAAACACTTTATCATAGACATAATTAAAGTTCTAATGAAGATTCATGTATTTTAATAATCGCCGAGCTCCAACCCCCGCATAGACTGAGCAACAGAGCAACTCTCTCAGAAGAATGTTTATTTTACGTAAATTCGTTAATAAACACAAATGTTTTACACGTCTTAAGAAAGATAGAAATATAAGCTTTATTTTAAATACATTACATTAGACATATTTAAAGCTCAAGTGAAGATATATATGTTTTTATAGTGGCGTTCAGTAGCTTTTCGGTCATAGAGTGCAGACGCCTACGCACTTGCCAATATGT